GGTTAAGTATTATTACTCACTGAGCTAGCGTCTCACTCCTCGCTATTTGTTTTTACAGAGAATTCAAGTGGTATTGAAGAGGATTTCATTAACTAGCGTGTGAGTTGGTAGCATCTGGTGAGCCCCGCATTGCTTCGAGTGGCAAGAGAGCTATTGATTTGTTATGCTTATTTAGTTTCTTTTAAAAACTCTTAGAGTTGCTCCATTTGTCATTCTTTTGATTGAGTCAATATTAGTCCTTCGAATTGTAGTCAAGTGACTAGTTTAGAACTTTTTTTCCGAAATTTGGAGATGAATTGGTTTTATTGCGCGACAATTTAATCATTGATGGATATTAAATGGTGGTTTATAGTTGCTATTAGTTGTGTTGTGAAATTCTGAGACAGGAAAAATCCAGGATAGGCCTAAAAACAAAGGAAACTCTGCCCGATTTTCTGTAGAGTTCTGGTGAGGCTTGCTTTGGGATTCTCCCCCTTAGCGCCGGTCATGATCCTTAATTGGGTCGTGACATCAGCTCACATAGGTAGTTAATGTTAGTCGCGAGTAGTAATTATAACAAACTATAGCTATGATGAGTAATTAAGTAGTATAAGTTTGTTTAACCACGTAGATATCTATATTATAAATAGATGTATATTTTTACTTGTTTAATTTTAAAAAATTAAAAAATTTATTTATCACTCAATTCTTGATTTTATTATTAATTATGACATTTTTTAAAATATCAAATCTATAATAATTAAAAAATAATATAATAAAATGATTTATTTAAAAGATGTGTTTAAGTTAATGTATTGAAGGAAGAATTTTATGGATTACTTATCCAGAACAAAACAAATAAAATTGATTGTGCACTACTCCTCGATCTTGCCAACTTGTATCTTTATTGTACTCAACTCTCTCATTCTATCCTTATCTTTATTTTTATCTTTTATCCTTAACTATCATCTAAATAATAATCGAAAGGAATTTGAGGCATTTAGACATAAAATCATAAAAAAATATTAAAAAAAAATCAAGTGAAAATAGTATTTAGAAATTAGAATCATGTTTAAATATGATTATAAATTGAAATTATTTTGTATTTTAATGAGTGATTTTGGTATGAAAATAATTTCTTAGAATTTTTCAAATTTTAATAAATTTTAGAATTCAATTTCAATATAAAACAAGAAATTTAAAAATAATTATTTTTAATATATATATAAAAAGAATTTAATCATAATAGTAACTTTTTTGTTTCACACTCAATGTTCAATAACTTATATCACATTGAAACACAATTAAATTCGAAGTCATGCCATACAATCCCACATTAATATCCAAGTGAATTCAAAATCGTGCTAGACAATTCCACATAAGGTAAAACATTTCCTAATAAAGACGATCAAACCCGAAAGGTGACAACAAACAAGTGATCAACTCCTACTATTGTACGTCTCATCATAATCCTATCATCTTCTTCCTCCTCCATAATTGCATCCTCCATTGTTTCTCAACCAAGCAAAAAAAAAATGCCTTCATCACTGAGTTCTCTTTCTCCTACAGAAAACCCATATCTCCATTCCCTTTTGGAATCATGCCGTCCTTTTCTCCGTGGAGAATTCGAATCAATCGACAAAGATCTCCCCAACCTTATCGCCGTTTTACGTTCCGTTGGCGCCGGTGAGTGTTGGCATAAACACGGCAGCTTTCTCGATCACTTAATTGATATTTACAAAATTCTCAAAATCTGGAAAGCCCCAAATTCCGTTTGTCTTTGTGGTCTTTTCCATTCAGCTTATTCTAATTCATATGTAAATCTGGCTATATTCGATCCATCCACTGGACGTGAAACTGTACGTGGTCATGTCGGTGAAGCTGCTGAGAGATTGATTCATCTGTTCTGTATTGTTCCTCGTCAGCCATTGATTCATGATGATTTGTTGTTTCGGTATACTGATTCAGAGCTTGTGGAGCATCTCGAGTTTTCGATGGCGTCGTTGAGTAATGCGAAGGAGAAGGGTTTGTTTAATGAAAACGAAGCGTGGAGGAAGAAATTGGTGTTGATTTTGCCTGTTGATGGTGTAATTGTGAAGCATATTAAGACGGGAGAAGATGTGTTGGTTTCGAGGAGATTAGTGGCTGTGTTTCTCCTAATGACAATGGCGGATTTCAGTGATCAGTTGTTTAATTTTCAGGATTTGTTGTTTGAGAATTCTAACGGGAGATTGGAATTCACTGGAAACAATTCTCAAACAACTCTATGGCCCGGTGATGGAAAGCCCGGGCTATGGATGAATTCAGTATCAAGAATGGGGGCAATTTATACTCTGATATTAAGAGAAGAAGAGATGATTGTTGAACAAAGAAAGCGAAATGGTGAAGAAGAGGTTGTTGTATCCGGGAGGGACGAAGAGATTGATCTTGTTATTCCACCGGTTTTCGACTTTTGCACAAGAGTTTTGGATGCAGAAGAGCAAAAAATGGCAAGAGAATTGTATTGGGAAGGTGTTTGTGAAGGGTCTAAGAGAGGTTTAGATTGGGCTAAAGAGAAGTTATTGATGAGTATTGACAAGAACCCTTTTGTAGGTGAGCCTCATGTAGTATTGGGGCAAATTTATTTGAGCAAAGGGAAGTTTGAAGAAGCAGAAAAAGAGGCTGAAAAGGGGCTAAGATTGATCTTGGAATGGGGGAGTCCATGGGACAAAAGAATGTCATGGGAAGGTTGGGTTGCTTGGACAAGAGTTCTGTTGATGAAGGCAAAAAACAAGTCTTGGCCACAAAATTCATGGGGTATTCTTAATTTGGGTTTAGTAAGGTGAAAAATAGATTTCTTATGATTTAGTTTAAGTTTGTTTGATGTCATGTTCATGTTGGATTCTCTAAATATAGTATTTTAAAGGATCCGATAGGTACTTATCCATATTAAATAAGATAAACCTTTTGTTTGTTTTAATTTTTGTTTAAATTAAATGTCTAAAATTTGGTTAAGTTGCTATTTAGTATTTCTAATAAAATATAATAGGATTGCGTATCGATCTATTCAGTTTGATTTTGAAGTTTATCAGTTTAATTATAAAGTTTATCGATTTGTAGATATGTTAATCTGTTATAGAATCATTAATATATCGATTTATTCGTTATTGATTGTTATTATTTCAGTTATAAAATCACAAAAATAAATTGTTGAAACAAGATGACAAACCCAATGAAACATGCATATGAGCTGACATATTATATCTTGCTCAAAGTAAATATTAACATCTCGTAGAATAGCCGAGAATTTGCAGAAGTCAAAAATTAAAATATGAAACTAAAAACCTTGATTTTATATTACTAAATAGTAGGACTATAGACAAGAGATGACTGCTTGGATGGGAAATACTCCCTCACATCTAATATTAAGATTGTAAGTTCAAGTCACCTCCGAGCTGCCACGATAAAATAGAGTGTAATCATTCACGGTCCATGATCACTATTTTGCTGTGTTACGTATGTGTCATCCGCGTAATAAATTAAAATCACGTAGATAATTCTATTATTGCCTAGCCACTAAAAGAACACCCATGTTGATTTTGTTAGCTGTGACTCTCAACAAATCAACAAGAATAAATGACTAAAAGGGAGTTGGATTGACTTTTTTAAAGTGACTTAGAGCCTGTTTGGATGGGCTTATAAGCTGGTCAAACTGGCTTAAAAGCCAGTTTTTAACTTATTAGAGTGTTTGACAATTATCAAAGTGACTTATTTTAAGTCAAAAATGACTTATTTTAAGCCAAAAGCTAAAAGCTAGGGG